ATTCCCGATAAATATTTGATAATGAAGATGTGGGTGGAGTAGGTGGCTTCAGGCAGCAGATATCCTCCAACAAGTAGGATTATAAAATCATTTAGGGGGGAAAAAAAGAGACATCTGGCTCAGCATGCCAAACCCAGGACTTTTCAAACTTTAAAGAAGGAAGATGATATTTGACATGTCCATGAAGGTGAAGGGGCATCGTGTTTTAATTAATTAAAACAGTACAGGATTTAGTATCAAAAGGCCCATGTTTGAGTTTCAGCTCTATCCCTTCCAAGCTGTGCAACCTTGAATAATTCACTTAGCCTCTCTGAACCTCCGTTTTCTATCCCTAAAACAGAGGTATAAGGAGTCCCATTGCTTATGCTTTGGTCAAGGTCAAAGGAGATAATGGATATAAAAATGATTTGCTAACTGTAAACAGCAACGCACTGTCATCTATCATCCCTACAAAGAACAGCAGAGTCTCTGGTGACTGAAGAGCAAAATAATGTTGCATGGCATGCTCCCAGCAGAAACCATGCTAAAGGCATTATGCTCTCATGAAATCTGTATTAATTTGCGAAGAGCTGCTCACAAACTGGGTGGCTTCAAACACATAAATTTATTGTCTCACAGTGCTGGAGGCTAGCAGTCCAAAATCAAAATGTTGGCAGGGTTGGTTCCCTCTGAGGGTTGCGAGGGAAGGATCTATTCCAGGCCTCTCTTCTTGGCTTGGAGATGGCCACCTTCTCCCTGTCTCTCTTCCCCTCATCTTTCGTCCATGTGTGTCTCTGTGCCAAAGCTCCCCTTTCTATAGGGATGCTAGTCATACTGGATTAGGGCCCACCCTGATGACCTCACTTGACTTTGATTACCTCTGCAAAGGCTTTGTGATGTTAATTTTGTGTCAACTTCATTGGAGTAAGGGATGCTCCAATAACTGGCAAAACATTTCTGGGTATTTCTGTGAGGGTGTTTCTGGAAGAGATGAGCATTTGAATCAGTAAAGAAGAGGACCCTCGCCAATGCAGATGGGCATAATCCAGTTCATTGAGGCCTGAATAGGACAAAAAGGCAGATGTCCTTATACATCGACACTCCTGGTTAGGCCATGGACTCAGACTAGGACGAACACCATCAGCACTCCCCTCAATTCTTTGAACTCAAACTGAAACACATCATCCATTTTCCTGGCCTCCAGCTTGCAGATAACACATCATGGGATTTCTCAGCCTCTATAAGCCAATTTCTTTTCTTCTCTCTCTCTCTCTCTCTCTCTCTCTCTCTCTCTCTCTCTCTCTCTCCCTCTCTCCCCTCCCCCCCCCACACCTCCTTTCCTCTCTCTGCCTCCCCTCTCTCTTTTTCTTATACAAACACAAACTCAATAATTTGCAATTGACTTTTAGGACCCATGCACAATACATTTTATGTCTATCTCTGCACATTCCTCCCCAAAAGAAAAAGTCAAAATAGACTACAATTTATTGATAGCTTTTGGACTCCTCATCCTTATGCTGTTTCTCTGAGCAAATGTAATCAGTGTGTTATGCCTCAATGGATGTCAATGATATTTAATAAAACAGGAATGAAGACAGAGCCCAGTAGTATACCACCAAAGACATCCATCCATTAATCTATCTGTTAATCATCTCTCCTTTAAGAAATATATTCAACCAGTCATTAATTCAGCCTACATACATCCTTCTCATCCAGAAGAACATCACAAGATCTGGGCCCTTCCTGAAATCAAGGTTTTAAATTCATTAATGTGAGTTGAGTATAACCATGTTCCGGGTGCTTTCATATACTTTTTTTAGTTAAAATTCCCAATACCTGTTATTCTTTTTAATACATAATAAAACTATCACTCCTAGAGAAAGTAAATTTACTAGTAAATGTCAGAGTAGGGGCATAAGGCCAGGTCCTGTGACTCCAAGTTCATGGCCAATACCTCTCATGGGGTCCTCTCAAAGGAGAAAAGATGCATAACTGGACTTATGCTGGCTCCTATTAATCATTACCTACTCTCCCAACTATCTATTGAAAGAATTAGCCCTTTGATTAGAGATTCTCAACTTGAGGTTTACAACAACTCAAGAGGGTCTGAGTGTAGGCTTGTATGAAATCCATGAAAGTTTGTGAAAAATGTCATGTATTGTATACGGTGCCTTTTTTTCTTAGATTAATGTGCATCCAAATCTCAAAAGAACCATGGCTTCAAACAAGAACGTGCAATTTAAACAACTCTCTATAGAACTTAATCATTGTTCACCTTTCTGTCTATATATTTCTCTCTTTAGAAAATCAAAATCGAATTCTCTCATCTCAAGTGTCCCAAAGCCTCTCTCAAAGCCTCATCATTCTTTAGAAGCTCTTAGAAATGTCGCCTGCTGGCCCCTTCTGAGGCCCCTGGATACCTTCTCTGGTATCAAAAGACACCAGTATCTGTCTCTGATATCATTTTATCAAGGCTCTCTTAGAAACCCACCTCTTTTGGCCTTCATTGTCCTCTTCCCATGCCAGGTTTTAGCCTGAAAAGGATTCCTTTGCCTTCACAAAGCCAAAGCAAAATTGCAGAGGCCTTTCATGCAGTTTTTCCCAGCCTCGGGCATGGTTAGGAGAGATGAGGGTACCAAGAGGAGAAACCCATCAGTGGAGATGTGGATTGGAGAGGGAGCTGATAGACCCTGAGACTTGGGCATTGTCTCAAATACCTAGAAAGTCTAAACCCTTCCTTGGTTAAATGAGTGGAAGACTGTGCCTTCTCCTGATAATCATGGTTGATCTCATCCTTCTTTCTTCACTATATTGTTTATATGTGATAATTTCCAGATATGCTTTCGTATAACTGTCATCCTGGTCACTGCTCGAGCATAGCAGACAATGACAAGAACTGCAAAAATTCACAAAACTTCATTCAGCCTCCCAGGGGGGTCCAGGCTCTAAGCGTGCTAAGATAAGGAGCTGATTCCTGTTCTTGAGGAGTTTACAGACCAGTGGAGGCCAGACAAGTAAATAGATAGTTTCAATGAAGAATGGTAAATGCTCTCACAGAAGGAATAAAGGACACCCTGGGAGAATCTAGGCGGGCCACCTAACACATTCTGGAGGACACAGGGGACAGATGGTCTGGGTCATCTTCAAGAGAAAATGGCTCTCAGCTGAGTCTTTAAGGAAAAATAAAAGTTAGGCACAGACTTACGAGAAGGATGAGGAGGAAAGCCACGTTTAGCAAATAGTTTAATCTGCCTAAACTTGCACACGATGTGCATAAAGTGTGCATTAAAATGTGCATGAAATGTGGAGAGAGTGTGAATGATAAGAGATGAGACTGAAGAGGAAAGTAAACTCATGTCACAGAGAATAATGCAGACACCAACGTTATTCTTAAAAGAAGAAAAATTGGAATCCACTGAAGACTTTTCCGAAAGATCCACACGATCATCAGATCATTTTAGAAAGACCGTGTGACACAGGACGGCAATAAGACAGGGGCCTTGGGGGTGGGCAGCACGGCCTTCAAATGAGACGCATGGGAAGTCATGATCAGAATAGACCTTAGGGTGGTGCTGACTTAACCTGAAAGAGTAGCAACAGAGCTGGAAACACAGGTGTGTGAATGAACTGTATTAAGCAGGCGGAGAAGACAGGACTTGGGGACTGATTGTCGTGAGTGAAAGACAGGAAGTGACCTAGGATGATTTCGTTGTGTCTGGCTTGGACAACTGGCGATGCCATTTGAGCGGTGGAAAATAGAAGAGGAGGAGCGGGCCTGGGAGAGGAGGGAGAAGACAAATTCAGTTTTGAATACGTTGACTTGAAGGTGCTCCCTGGTACATCACAGTGGAGATGTTCTCTAGAGAAGGTTGGTATCTAGGAGATAAATAACGAGAGGCGATAGGCATGTCCGTAGGGATGGACGCCATGAGAACCCCGTAACCTGATTGTGAGGACATGGAGATGGTGAATGGAATGTCTCTCTTTCAAGGAATTTGGTGGGAAGGAAGAGAAAATGGAGAGGGCAGCTAGCGGGATGAAAGGACGTGTGGAAGACCTCTTATCCTCTGTGGAACTGGGTGTGTGATCAACATAAACAAACACCAGTGCCGGCTTCTCTCTTGTCCCGCTGAGCCCTGGAAGAGCTTTTGTTTTCATTGCCTTTATCAGTGAGAAACGGCTCTGGCTTAACCTGTGAAAACGAAACCAGAGCGAGGCAGGGCAGACATGACATCCGGAACCCTTTGACCCACCGCTCTCACCTGAACGCAGGAGGTGCCCACTCCCTCCCCACCTGCTCTGTTTGCCCTGGGAGATTTCCAAGTCAGGATCAAAAGCCCCCCTAGTCAGCTAAGACCCCCGGCTCCTTCTACTCTTATCCAAAATTTTTGCTGGGTGCATTTGAAAGGCTCGTTCAAATAGTTAAGTACAAAGGGCCAAGAGACTGGCCCGACCCAGCGCTGTGCACGCCAATCACCGTCTCTCCTTTGTGGAGCCCCAGAGGAGACCCTGCGGTGCAGAAGAGATGATTCGATTTCCTTTGGACCCCAGAGAACATGCCCGAAACAGATGGCTCTCAAAAGCCCCATCCTTCTTGCAAAGCCCGTGTCCAACAGGCAATAAACACAACGCAGAGCCGCCTCGCGGCCCCACGAAGACCGAGCGGGCAGTACCCTGCGACCGGCTGTGCACAAGCGGGCTCCCACTTGGCACCGGTTCGAGACCCATCCACGGCCCCTCTCTGCACGTTCCGCCGGCTCATTTTCCGAAACGAGGTTCGGATTTACAAACCCACACATTCCCCTGGCAACGGAAACGCAGAATGAGTTCAGTAAGCCTCTGCATCTTGCGCGCCTGGAAACGGCTCCAGCTGAGAGTACACGGGAACGCAGCCCAACAGGGACCGTTTTCCGGCAACTCTGGAGGCCCTTTGCAAGGCTTCTCGACTGACAGAACAGCGGCTTGGACCCGGGAGGGAGCCCAAGCAATGGAAGACCGGAAGAGAGAGGCGCCTACCGTACCCGATCGGCGTGGCGGGTCATGCTGCGGGCGTCTGGGTGGCTTCAGGCCCCGGCGCTGCGGACGCGGCCTCTGCTGCGGGCCGGCGGGACCTGTGAGCTCTGCCCCGAGTAGCTCTTGTTTGCACTGGGCCGTTTGCTTTTGGGATTTCTCCAATGCAGATGTAGTCAGGGGGCCGCTGTCCCGGGGGACAATGATTCCATTGGAAGCTGGCCTTTGACAAGTCTCACACATGACCTTTGACTAAAATGGCTTTGGGGAAGGAAAGTGTCCCAGAGGCTGAAGACGGGACATCCAGGGCAGCGGCCCGCGCGTTCCCACCCCCAACAGTGCCAAGTTAATTTTTCATCTCGTAATCTTTCCAGGGGAGCCTCTGGGAGGTTTGAGTTGCCATTTCTCCTTCATTCTGCAGGATTCTGATCCTTTCCGAAAGGATTGTGCTGCAGCAGTTCCCTGCTACGGGGTTGCTGAGTCCTCAGAATTAGCATTTCCAGGTTAAACGTGGGCAGGCCTATATTGTATAAATTCCTCTAAGGCTCTCACACGAATAATACCACAGTTCCCCACCCCCCACCACCCCAGAGAATGCTCCAGCTTACAAAGGGCTTTTCACAATCCTGCTGTCATTTGTCCTCCCCAGACCACGCAAGGGGCTGAGGGGGAGGCTCTGCTGCCCCTGCCTTTTTACACATAAATATAATAAACAGAAGCCCCAGCAAAATAAGGCATTGGCCCAATCACCCAACCAGAAAGTGAACTCAGGGTCCCCTCCTTCGGCGTCCTGTCCACACGCACGAACGCTCCGCTGCCCGGCCAGCTGACCCGCCACAGTAACTCAATTACAACACGTAAACCCATAGCATAATATAAAATTGTATTGTATGCTATAAAACAACATGAGCTATAATTATTTGAATTTTTTGAATTAGGAAAGTGGCTGTTAGAAAATGTTTTAATATAAGAGCTGTTTTCGGTTATTGTTTATCAATTGCTAAATGGATGCCGTGGGACCCAGACTGGCCACTCTGAGATAGGGGTACAAGCCAGGGCTTCCTGACTGCTACCAGAGACCATCCCTAGCCACCATCAGAGCCATTTCCCCTCCTGTGTCTGGGTCCTTCCAGATGGTGATATGCTAAACAAAAGGGAATGGGGCTGTGAGCTGGTAAAGAGAACCCTGAACAAAAAGTCAGCATCCCAGAATTGTAAGACAATGCGGAAAGGTATAATGGGGGTCTGCAGAGATACCCTAGGGCCACCTGGTGGGTCAGGTGGCATCCTCATTTTTTCCAGCCTAGAGAAGGGGAAAGGGGATGATACTCACACTCAGTTTGGAAGAACGGGAAGGAGTCTGCCAGGAGAAGGACATCATCAACCCAGACAACACCATCTACAAACACTGCCAGGTGACTTGGGCGAACAGAAAACAGTTCCTGCAGGCAGGAGCACCAGGAGAGGGAGGCTGTGTCTAGGGAGGAGGTGTGGATTGGACTCTGACCAGCCTCCTGTGTCGCTCTAGGAAATGTGTAATTCATCCTGCAGTGCTGAATGGGTTAATATAATTGGCCCTGGGTTATCAATTCAGAAGAAAAGGTTATAGGAGTCACAAGTTCTACAACAAGAAACACACACACACACACACACACACACACGGTGTGATAAAAAAAATACAGTGAATATCTAAATAAAAATATTATTACAGTAAAAGACACATTGCCATTAATCCCCCTCAAAAATACTCCCCTCGCTTCGAACACACTTATCCCATCATTCTCGCCATTTTCTGAAATATGTATATATCTCTACCCAGTTTGGTGGTTACGCACATGAACTTTATCAGACAGGTACAGTTTATTCTTCCTCGCTACAAAAATGTCAGCCATATACTTAACCCCGCTTACGCCTCTGTTTTCTCATCAGTAAAATGGCAATAATGGGATCTGCTATGAGGATTAACTGAAATCAGTTAGGTAAAACCCTTTGCCTGCCTTCTGACATACAATAGCACTCATCCAGTGTAGCTGCTATATTTTAAAGGAATTTAATATGTGCAGAGCCCACTATGGAGTAACACAGATCTTTGTCTTTTTCTTTCAGATCTCTCAGTCCCTTCTTCCTACCACACATCTGGCTTTTGACTCATTAGAGTTTGCACTTTGCTCCTCACACCTGCTATCTTCTAGCTTCTTCGGGACATTACTTCCTTTAGGTCCCAGTCTAGACTTGCATATCAGTTTCAATCCTTCTCTCCTCCCACCTCAGTTTGTTCAGTTCCTTGTCTAACCACTGCCATACCCATCTGCAAAACCCCCACCCAAGAGGCAGTGATCTGCTAGAGCTACACATCATCACACGGTCGTGCCACTGAGACGGAGGTATTCGTTTTTTGTAAGCTTTCCAGGCAATTCTAAAAGCCAAGCTTCAGTGCAATAACCCAACCTCTGCCTGACGCAGAGGTGATGCTCGATAAAGAAATGAAAGGATGAATGAACGATTCAAGGAATGGAGTCATCTATCTCCTGCTTAACTTTCAATCTCTTCTCCTTGGTCTTTCTACACATGTTCTGTTATCCAGGCATGCAACCCCCCCCCCCCCCCAAACAAGTCCTATACTGTCGTTTGTCCAAGTTTTCATATGCCACCCATACCCTATCTCAGCTACCTAAGGAATTTCCCTGCTGGGCTGCCTGGCAAAATCTGGGTTGGTTTGGGCTCAAGAGCATCTCCTCTGATGACCTTTCCCAGTATCCCCAAAAGGCTCAGGGGCTCCTCTCCCCCTGCACATGTCCCTATTACAGCAGTCATGCTGCTGCCTGCTGTGTCATGATTGTTTTCCCCTTGTATCCTCATGTGCAGCTGACGGCCCAGACAGCGATGGCACTCTGCAGACACGGGGAAATGAATTCATAAGTGAATGGATTAACACACTGAATGAATTTTTAAAGAGATGATGTACAGTCGTTTGTTTGCTTGTTTGGGGGGATATTTAAACAGCTTTACTGAGCTATAAATCACATGACATCCAAATTCCTCAACTGAAATTGTACAAGTCAATGGTCTGTAGGATATTCAGAGTTAATCATCACCACAGTAAATTATAGAACATTTTCATCACTCCAAAAATGAAACCCATTGACAGTCACTCCGTATGTCTCTGCAGCTTCCCAGCCCTAAGTAACCACTAATCTACTTTCTGTCTCTATAGATTTGCCTTTTGGGGGACATTTCATTTAAATGGAATCATATAATAACTGTTTTTTCATGATTGGCATCTAGTTCCACTTTTGAAGATTTATTTGGCCACAAGCATCCCTTTCACATTGAGTCAATGTGACGGAATACGGGCTCTGGTACAGATCTGGGAGGGCAACCCAAGGCAGTAGTTCTTAGACCATATTCCACAGCAACCTGGTAAATTATCCAAATTCCTGAGTTGGGGAAAGGAAGATAGAGAAGCTTAGATGCACTTGCTACCACAGAGAAAGGGAAAGGGGGGTGGATTCCAGGATGGTTCATCTCTGCTTCACCAGTCCGTTCCAAGGGGGGACATTGGAGCAGGACCTCTTGCGCCATAAGGACCCCACATTGAAGGCAAACTCCAGGTCAGACTCTAGCTTTGCCACATATTAGCTATAACTCTGTATTCCCTGCTTCCTCATCTCTAAAAAGAGGATAAAAATAACCCCCACCTTATAAGCACCACATCACCGTATTGTAGTAAAAATTAAATATGGGGATGCATATCAAATGCATAGCACTGGCCCCTGGGACATTACAAATGCCTGATAAATAGCTATGCGACTGTAGTTGTTAACGTTTGGCCACAGCTATTTACATATTGTTGTTCTAAGTAAAGTTTAGAATGGAAAGAAGGTTCTGGTGCTTTAAAAAAATAATACAAACTGTTATTCTAGGAAAACTTCACATACCATGCTGATAGCCACGGCCAGGTGGTCCTCTGTGTTCTGCCTGATGAGAGTAGGGACAGTGGCAAGGTTTCGCTAAAGCTGAAGAGAAGCTATGAATGGAAAGTGGGGGGAAGGGTGGGTTAGGTGCATTCCTGGCGCAAAAGCTGATGGAAAGAATCTCGGTTTTCCCACCGAATGTCCCTCAGTGCCACTAGCAGACAGAACATGCTGACTCCATGGGCCTTGGGTCTTGTCTGTTCGTCTGCACTTCTCTTCATCAATGTCTTTATTTTCCTTCTATTCTTAGGTGGCCAGCCGGCCTGTGGCATCCTCTGCTAAGCCCTCCTGGGGTGTCTCTGAAGGACATCTGAAGCCAGAACTTGGGTGGCTGACCCTTGGAAGGCAATCCGATGGTCAGACACAAACATTGTAGCAAGTGGTCACAGAACAGACCAATTTTGCTACCAATTGATCAGACAATTATAGCGCCAACTCCAGGAGAGCTGTTCTTGCATGTAAGCATTGAGTGTCTATTCTGAGTTATGGGAGGAGGGTAATTAAGTTAGCGGGCCTTCGTGTGACTTCTACTGCTTCGAGTGGTCTTTCCTGGCAAACCTCTGTTCCGATTCAGCTCAACCGTCTCTCTATCTTGCCTTCCCCTCCCCTCCCTCTCTGTAATCCCATAGTTCCCTGGACATGCCTGTAGGATAGCAACTAGACCGTGTCCCGTTATCACCTGTGTATATGACCATCTCTTCTGCTGGACTACGAGCAAGTGACACACAGGGGCCTCTTTCATTGATCTTGCCCATTCATAGCCCTGGGCCAGCACACAATGCTATTCCTCCGATTTTTACAAGCATATATTAAGAACCAATTGTGTGCTGATACTTCAAAGTGCAAATATTCCATAGAAACGTGGGATTTTTAAGGCTGAAGGAAATTTTGAGACAAGGAAATGAGGCCCAGAGAAAAATGTCTTATCAAGTTTCCCAGCGCCTGAAAAGGGAAAATATTGGGGATAGAATTCAACTCTCCTGACACGATGATCTTTTATGGCAGGGATTTTCCCTGTGGTTCAAATGATAGGTTTTTTAAAACATGATTGGAAAGCTAGAGAAAATATGAATGATTGTTTTGTTCATTGGCGGTTTTTCCAGCTCGAGCACTAGCCTTCAAAGCACTCCTGAGTTGGGGATTGAAGATACTAACAAAGACCAACCAAGATCTGCAAGGTGGCTAAGCCCACTACTGTCTGTACTAATCCCACCCCCACCCTGGACTCACATCTTACCCATGCCAGGCCGACCAAAGGCTTGTAAAAATTTAACTTGGTATGATTGCACAACCATAAAAGCTTGAGTTGCTTTTTGGGGTAATGAATGAGGTTCTTCCATTGTGAGAATGTTTCCAGTGAGAGGGAAAACAGAGCAAGTTGTCACAATCATAAATGTCCCTGTCTGGCTCAGATGAGGTTATTATTACACAACTAAAGGACATAGGGGACACAGGTTGGGGTACAAACAGAATCCTGGTCTGTTTC